TCAGTGGGGAGGAGGGGGGGGTTGGGTGGGGTGCGGGCCCAAAAAGGGTGCAGCTTGCTGGGTGGTGCGAGGAGGCGCTCAGGCCCGGGAGAAGAGTTCGTTTTTCTTGCTCCAGTCCATCTGCGGGGCCCGTTTGTTGCTGCGCTTCTGGTGGGCCCTCTCTTTGGCCACGGCCAGGGAGATGTTGAAGTCTGGGATGGGGTCGGAGGAGGAGGTAGATGAGGGTGCTGCGGAGTCCTGCTTCTTGGGGCTGTCTTGGGAGTTCAGCTGAAAGAGGAGGGGGAGGCAGAGCGGGAGTCAGTGCTGGGCGTCCTGGTCCTCAGCCTCGGAGGTGGCTCCTTGGGGCAGTGCCCAGGGAAGCCAGGTCACAAGAACAGAACGTGGCTCAGCATGTGACCCCGAGGCAGGCTGGTGTGCCAGGCACGAGTGTGGCCTGAGAACGGGGTGCCACTAACCCAGTGCCGCCCCTGCCCACCCGCCGGCCTACCTCCTCGCTGGTATCACTGGAGGTGGACCGTGCCAGGGCTGGCCTGGGGTTCTCGGAGGCCACCTCGGACAGGGCTTCATAACTGTTCTCCTGGCAGAGAGAGGACAGGTATGGGTTGGCGGGGAGTGGGTTGGGGAAGTCCCGAGCAGGACAGGGAGATTCCAGGGAAGACGGGTGCCTTGTCTGAGAACCTCCACTTGGGCCCTTGCCATCTACCCGAGCCCACGGCCTGAGCCTGCCCGCGGCCCTCAGGGGACTTCCATTGTTACATTCCTCCCAGGACCAGAGGGGAGGACCCTCCGGGGATTAGCTGAACTGCCCATTCCCAGTCCTTCCCAGTGAGGCCTTCAGGACGGCCTTGCCTTTTGGGCCAGTGACCAAGGAGAGGTTCCTGGGGCGTGGGGACACTGGGGGCTGACTTGGCGTGGGAAACCCGTGATGTTCCCTGAATCTCCTGTTGCCACCTAATTACTTGGACTTGACCCAGGAATCTTAAAACTAACCCCAAAGCAGCTAAAAAGGGCTTAGGAGTGAGGAGTACGGTGCATGAGATTCTGCACCCCAAATGGAGTGACAGGTGATCCAGGGACGCCCCCTGCTGTGTCCCCCAGCAGGAGGCCCTGGGGCAGGGGAGACTGAGCAGACCCTGCAGAGAGCCTCGCTCCGTGGTCAGTCTACCCCAGAGTGAAGGCCTTGGCCAGGCCTTCAGCTTGGCGCTCAGCCCCTGCCTGGGTTCCTGGGGCCGGGCTGGCACCGGGCCCTGCCATCTCGGCTCCGGCCTCCACTGCCTTCCCTTCCCTTCTGCCTGGAAGAAGGAGGGGCGGGGGCTTTGTTCTTCCAACCCAGCCTGGAAGTAGCCGGGCAGCAGGCGGCCAGACACTGCTGCTCTGTTCTTGGGGGGAAGAATGGCCTCTTCTGTGTGGGGGACTTGGAGGCGGGGCTTGTTACCAGGATGGCGGGGTGCAGAGGGGCGCGCCAGGCCTCTCCTTGGTCCCAGGCAGGGGTCGAGGGCACACCGGTAGGTACATAGCGTGGACTCGGGAGGGAGTAGCTCGGAAATGAGTTCCCACCGGGCCAGCTGGCTGTCCTCCCAACCACACCCCCTTCCACCCTCCTCCCGCAGCCCCCAGACTAGGAGCCAGAGAAGCAGTTAGGGGTTCACCTTTACCTTCTGGATCTCCCCATTGGTAAAGGGCTCAGGCAAGGGACCTAGTGAAGGGAAAAAGCAGAGGTGAGTCCAGAAGCTCTGGGGGAGCGTGGAGGAGGGAGAGGTGTGGGGCTGGGAGAGATCTCGTTCCCTAGTCAGTCTCTTGGCTGCACCCCACTGGAAGTGCGGCTGCCACTCTGATGGCCTGGCACACACACTGTGCGTCAGTGTAACAAGTTTCAGAGAACAACCTGCTCTTACCGCACCCCATCTTCCCTGGAGGCCTCACAAAGCTCATGGACGGTTTCTACTCGCTTTCCTGAGAAAGAATGTGCTGGTCGCTGCCTATAACCCAATCGCACGAGCCCCTGATGGAGCATCAGCTGCCTGAGCCAAGCCTTGTCCCGGATGGGGCTGAGAGGGCCGGCTGCCCATCTAAGAATCACCAGGGAAACTGGTTAGGAGCACAGATTCCTGGGCCCCAGCACCGGAGCCTCTGGTCCAGTGGGGCTGAAGCAGCCCAGGAATCCGAATGTTCCAAAGGCTTCCTAGGAGACGGAACTAGAACCACACCCAGCTGCCCCTGCCTCAGCCTACTGGCCAGCGTGGAGATGAGAGGACAGGAGGGCTCAGGGCAGTGTCCCAGCCAATGGGAACAGGGAGGTGGCCGGAGGGGTCAGAGGGAGCGGACGCTGCCTGGGGTCACCCTCACTGGGCTCGTCTGGCCAGAGGCCCCACGTGGCTGCAAGGGGAGCTGCTCCATCTCTGGGGACTAGTCAGCCTGGGCGGATTCCTTCTGAACTTAGCTTAACACTGTGTATGTCCCCTACCCCCACCCTGGACCCGTCTGGGCAGCCAGGCATACCTGCCTCTCACCTTTCCTCCCTTCCAACACCCTCGGCCTTCCCACAGTGGCCGGCAGGGGACTGTTAGGACATGGGGACGCTCACTCCCACTGCCCCCAGGCTGAATGGGTAGGTGACACCATTCTGGAGAGACCAGGAGAGACACTGGGGAGACCTCTCCCAGTGCAGGTCCTCTGGGCAGGGGCTGCAGTCACCCTGTTCTCCGGGCCCCTCCCACCCAGCCAGGCAGGAGGGAGGGAGGTGCGGGCTGGTGACCTGGCGCTGAGGGGAGAAGGTGCTGGAGGAGGTCGGGAAGGAATCTGAGGAGCTGGGAGGAACCCAGACCTCTGCTGTGTCTCCTTCATGCCATGTCCCCAAGAGCCAGGCTGGGGCTTCTCTGGGCCTCAGTTTCCCCTCACTGAGACAGGGGGAGGTGGCATCCCACCTCCCATGCAGAGTCTGCTAGGGATTTCCAACTAACCCCTGACTCCAGCACCCCTAGCACCCTAGATTGAGCTAGATAGGATGGGGCCTTCCCAGTGGGCCCCTCCAGCCAGGGATCCAAGCCTATGTCATGTCCTTCATGTGGAACCCCCCTTACAAACAGAACCCTGACACCTTCAGGGAGGGGCCGCCCATTGCAAAGACCAAAGAGGTTCTATCCCTGACCTGCCCGCCCACCCCCCCCCCCCCCCACCAAAAGCCATCTTCCCAGGGAGAAAATGCATACCAGGGAGCTGATCTTTCAAAAACCCAAAGGGGTTTTTTTTTCCTGCCCGGCCCCCCCCCCCCCCCCCAATTCCCCGCCCCCAGCCATCTTCCCAGGGAGAAAATGCAGACCAGGGAGCAGAGCGCTGCTTAACTCCTCCCTGCCCCGCATAGCAGCCCTGCCCCCACTTAGCTTGGGCTCCGGCAAGGGGCCGTCCAGGCTTGGCAGGGGGACCGTGGGGGGTGGGGAAGACAGGGGCCCAGGGACCAAGGGGGGACCCACTGCTCTCTCCAGCCAGCAAGCCTGGGTTTCCAAGACAACCTGAGAGAAGGGAGGGGGAGGCACTGGGCCCCTGTCACTGGACTCTGATCTGACCAGGCGGCAGCCCCAGAGTTAACCCTTTCCTGGCATAGCCCTGCTCTGAGAACGTGGTGGGGGTGAGGGGCTGGGTTTCCTTTAGTGCTGCTCTGGCCCAGACAGCAGCTCCGTCCCACCTCACCATCCCTGTGCCCGCTTACCTGTCACATGCCGTCCTCAGAAACCCAAGGCCCATCCCTGCTTCCTGCTGATACTAGCTCGCCCCCCTCCCTCCCCACCCACACCCCTTGGCCTCCCCGGAAGGAGAGGGAGGGAGCATCGCAGCAGGAAGCTGTACCCTCACCTGGGACCCAGCCACGTCCAGAACTCTGGCCAACATCCCTGACCTGGGGGCCTCCAGCCACCCCGCCCAGCTCACCATGCAGGTGCTCGTGAGACGGGATCACTTTGCATTTCTTGAAGAACTCATCGGTCTCCTTGTCCACCACCAGCAGCTTGGTCTCCTCGCCGCCAGCCTTGATGGCAGACACCACATCCCCGTGCTGCTTGCCCTCCATGCAGACGCCGTTCACCTGTGGGCGGGGCATGGTTACCAGCACAGGTGTCAGTTCGGGGGCGTCGGGCGAGGAGGCACAGGTGGTCCTCTTCGTCCTCAGCCAGTTGGCAATCCAGGGACTCGGAGCCCCCCTTGCCCAGAGTCCTGAACGAGGCAAGGGGTCCTCCCACTTGATAGTCAGATGGGAAAAGCCAAGGAAAATATCCGGGGGAGACCAAGCAAACAGCTGGGAAGACGACGGGCAAGGCCTGGGGCCTGGGTGGGCCCCAGCTCCCCTGTGGACCTGCCTCCCGCCCCGGCCTGGCTTGCTCAGTGTAAAATGAGAACCTCTAAGGTTCGGAGACTGAGATTCTGGGACCTGCCCAAGGCCTTGGTTCGCGTTTCCTCTCCGCCCAACAGCCTCACTCGGGAGAGGACTTCACCCTCGCACTCCATCCCTGCGCCTGGCATGGAGGACGCAGGAAGCTCTGGGGGTGGCCCCGGATGTCGACCTGGATCGATGGGTGAATCATGAACTGCCAAGTGTGTCTGCTCAGTGAAGAGGCTCCCAGGGGAGGCAGGGAGGAAATCAGTCCTCTGCCTACCCACCATCTTTCCGTCTTTCCTTCCCTCCTGCCCGCCCACCATCCCTCCCGCCGGCATCTACGCATCAGGGGCTAACCAAGGAGCTGCTGGTGTGATGGCTGCCCCAGGAGCTGTCTGTCTCTGTGGGGAGGTCGCCGGGTTGGAGGAGCCTGGGGAGAAGGCGAGAGGCATTACCTCCACGATACGGTCCTGGGCCCGGAGCCCCGAGGCCTCGGCGGGCGAGTCTGGGTCCACGGACCGGATGAACTGGCCTGGCTTGGTCTTGTCGCTGTGCAGGTTGAAGCCGTAGCCGTTGGGACCCCTCTTCATGGCGCAGAGCCGAGGCCGAAGCTCACGCTGTGGGGACAAAGCAGAGTCCGTGTCGTTCCAGTGTCCTGGGCCCCACTCTCCCCGCCTGTGCCCGGCGCCAGCTCCCACCAGGAAGATCTGATAACAGGCAAATCTGCTGAGATCCCACTGCACCGGGGAGAACGCTGGCCGGGGCCCCAACACTGCGTGGAGACCCCGTGTTGCAGCGAAATGCCTGGGTGACCCTGGGCAACAAGGCCCCTCTCCAAGCCTCAGTTTCCTGTTCTGCAAATGAGAAGTGGGGACAGAGTAGCTCAAGTCCCTCCCCTTTTGACATTCTATGGTTAATCATTTTGATTGATACCTTGTCCCTCCTACCAACGGCTCAGCTGGCCCTCCTGGGGGGTGACAGGTTGGGTACCTGACATGGGATGGGGAACCCTGGCCTCTGTATAAGATGTGAGAACCATTTCAGTGCAAGAGATCTGCCTGTGCCTTCACAGGTGGCCCTGGCCAGGCCACGGCCGCAGCCACAAGGGGTTCCTTCGGCCCAGCCCTGCTTTTCAGGGCCCCTTCCCCATCCAGGCTCCTGTCTGCAGAGGGAGGCAGGCCCGGTGTTTACTGAAAGCTGGGCAGCGTGTTTACAGTAAAGCCGTTCCTCACGCAGGTTCCTCACGCTGGCTCCTGTCTCTCCCCCGCCAAGCCAAGTGGCCCAGCCAAAGGGAGCCGAGTGGCCAATGACCACAGACCAGGGGGATGCACAGTCGGGGGTCCTGGACAGGACAAGAACCCCACCGGTGGAGCCAAGACCGGACTAGCAGAGAATAGCAGAAGCTCAGAGATCCTGCTGGTCCCCAAGGAGCACACAGACACCCAGCTGGGACCATCCCGCCATCCTCGGGCCGCCTTAGGCAGCTGAGCTCGCGGCTGCAGCCCAGAAGGCGTGTACATGATGCAGGGAATTGGGTGTGAGAGGGCAGGACACTGCAGCCTGAGCACCAGGGCTGACTTGGGGTCCCTCTCCCGCTACTCGCAGGCCTGGGGCAGGGCACAGCAGCCAGCCTATGAGCTCTGGGTCGCCCCTGGACACCAGGCCACGAGCAATGGCTGAAGTCAAGGCCCTGGCCCAGGTTCCAGCTGCCCCACTGTGTGAGCTGGGGCAGCGATTTCCTTCTCAGAGCCCCAGTTTCCTGAGGCTCACATACAAGGGGACACCTCACAAGCGTACAGTCCCTGAGCGGAGTACTCTCCCACCGTTGTGAACACTCACGAACAGTCAAATGAAAGTGAGAAGTGAGATTCTGGGGCTCAGGGGTGGGTCCAGGTTGCTCTGAAACCCCAGTCGCAGCTGGGAGTGGAGGTGAGGAGGGTTCACAGGCCACCTGTCCCAGCCCAGGAGGCAGCACCATCAGCTGGAGGCTCCGTCCCCACCCCTCACTCTCAGGGTGACTTTGCCTCCGTTAAGTGCTGGGGCGGATCTTTCTGTGCTTCAGGATGTTGGTGGGGGGTGTGGACAGGCCAAGACAGGAAGGAGGGCTGACAGTTGGGCCTGCGGGTACCCTAATCTGGGCTAGAGGCCCAGGCCCCCCTTTCTCTGAGTTCTCATCCCTTCCCATTCCTCGTGGCAGGGCCCCACCAGCATGCCCAGCTGATGCCTGCTTATCCGGCCAGCACAGCCCTCTGGGATCTGGGATCTGGTTCCGGGTGTAAGACAAACTCTTCTCCCCTCAAGCTAATCCCTCCGCAAAGCTGTGGGCCGCCCTCCCCCAGGCGAGGTGAGCAGAACAGGTCTGACCAGCTGCCGCCACCTGGGCAGGCTCAGCTTTCGGCCCAGCCAGGCTCAGCTCCACCACGGCCCTGAGAACCTGGGGAGGGAGGGGGCAGCTCCCATGTCGCTGCCTCTCCCCACCTGCCCTCACTCCAAAGAGCCTTCCCAGAGCAACCTGGCCCAGGCTGGTCACCCGCAGCTTCAAGATGGGGAAACTGAGACTCGAGATGCCATGCCCACTGCCTGACGTCACACACGGCTTTACAGGGGAGGAGCCCGAACCCCAAGCCTGTCTCTGACTTGGAGCCCGTGTTCCTCCCACCATCTGTGGGCTGGCACCTGAAGACCCAAGTTCAGACTGGGAGGTGCGCACCCCCTCGGGGCCTCAGCAGGGTCACAAGCACTGGAGTCCTCTCCCCGAGGTGCCTGCAGCCTCTGCGGGGAGGGGCCTGGGAGCTGATGAAACCACAGCCTTCCTTCCGGGTGCGCGAAAGGTTCTTGCAGCCAGAGCTAAGCCTGAGCTTGGGATAGGCGATGACGGGGACAGTGAGCAGCCTGGGCTGGGCCTGGGAGGGGAAGGGGGCAGCGTGGGTGCTCTCCAGGTTGGCACGGCTGCACTACTGCCCGGGGCTCTGTGTCGCGGGCTCCCCTTACTGAGCCTTGCCTGGTGACCTGTCCTTAAAGCTGGAGGCCGCACTGAGCCTCGAGGATGGAAGAAATAAGGGACCCAGCCAGAGGGGCTCAGGGACCTGCTCATTGCCCTCTGGGCAGGCGGACAGGAAACCCCTTCTGAAGTGTTCGACACCCACAGAGCCCCATCCCGCACCCTCCTTCCCAGGGCCAGCTGCAGGCTTGCATTCCTCCCGGAGACCAGCTTGTTTCTCCCCGCCCCCTCTCCCCGCTGTCTCCAGGAGGTGTCAGCGCCAGCTGCTGAGTCAGCCCAGCCCATCCTGGGTGGAGGCTGGTGCTGACAGGAGTCCCTGGGGGCAGCCTCTCTGGGGGTCGTGGGGCTGGCCCAGTCCTGAGAAGAGAAGATGGGAGGGGCCAGCTGCCCGGAGCTTGGCCACCGCGGGTCCTGGGTTAGAGCTGGGCAGGGCCTGGGGAGAGGGGGAAATGGCAAGTCCAAGCCATCCCCGGCCTGCGGTGTGGCCCCAGGGGTTCAGGGGGAGCCTTGTGCTGGTGCTTGAGGGGCCCAGAGCCGGGCTGGGGCTCACTACAAGGGGAACATGGTCTCAGGGTGTTCAGAGCCTCAGGGGGCACAGCTCAGAAGTAAAAATCAGGATCTGCTCAGTGAGGAGACTGGCAGAGATCCGCAAGCGAGAGGAAGGAACGCGAGGCAATGGTGGCCAGTGGGCAGTGCAAACGGGCTGGGGCAGCTTGAGTCTGAGTCACTTCCAGAAAACGCCAGACCCACTTTCTGGAAAAGACCCTGCCAAGAGACCTGCCTCCAGACTCACGGCGCCACCAGGTTCTCGGGCTGCTCCAAGTTCTGTCCCAGGCCTGCCCTCCTCTCTCCCAGGGAGCCCAGCCCCACCCCAAGTGGCCGCCCAGTCACCTCCACCCCCGCAGCCCAGGGAGCGGATGGCGGGCACGGAATTCAATAGGCACCACCAGCAGCCACCTGGAAAGCCGGGGAAAGTCGATACCCTAATCCCAGTGACTGTCTCTGGGGATCAGGCCCAGGGGAGGATGGCTGGGGGGCCAACGCCCCGCTGGGCCTGGCCCCTCCCTGGCCGGTGCCATGGTGAAGAGCCCATATAGAACAGCCAGGCAGCTTCCTGCAAGGGGCGGGCTGCAGGAGGGGAGACTACCAGGTGGCTAGGGGAACAATAGAGGTGACCCTCACCTCCCAGGGCTGCCCATCCCCCCAGCCCCGCCCCAGCCCCACCCAGCCCCGGGCTCCTGTTTATGCACCTAAGAATGGTGCCCAGCTGCCTCCCACAGAGAAATGAGCCCCAGCCAACAGGGCAGGGGAAGGGCCTGGCTGTTCTGGTGGGTAGGCAGAGGGTGTGCTGGGCTAAGGAACCCTGGCTGCTCAGGGAGCAGCTCAGTGCTCTCCAAGGAAGCCAGGCTGGAGAGCTGGCCCTGCCTGGGGTGACGCGTGACGGGGAACATGCGGGCATTGTCCTTGGGCAGGCTGGGAAGTGACCAGGACCCAGACTACTGGCCAGCGTCCACAGGTCTAAGCTCATGGATCCTCTCCCCACCCCGGGGGAGGTAGAGGCTTGGCTGCCACTGCCTCATGCCCTGAAGTGGCTCCACTTCACCCCACAGGACCTCCCGTCTAAGGAATGTTAGACACCTCCATTCGCAAAAAGCGAGCTGCTTCTAGCCCTTGACCCTGAACTTCCTACTGTTTCTCCGTGGAGAGGCACTTTTCTGGAGCCCAGCAGGGTGGGGTCCAGGAGGGAGACATAAGCTTAAGTGGCGGCCACTTCTCCAACAGCCCCCAGTAGGGGCCCTGAGACAGATCCCCCTCCGGCTCTTTCCTCCCAGTGCTGCCCAGCGACCCATCTGAGGGAGAGGCTGGCTCAGGTCTCCCCAGGGCTGGGCAAGGCTGGGATGGAGCAGGCTGGTACGTGGGCTGCTGCCTGGCTGGCCACCTTCCAGGCTGGCCACCCCATGCCCGCGGCCCAGCAGGCACTCCACTTCAGCCCCCCTGATCCCTCCCCCTCCTCCCCAAGAGAAGCCGCTGGATTTAACTCCTGTGGGCTGTCTCACGAGGTTACTTGTAAGAATCTTCAGGGAGCTTGTGAAACTGGAGCTCTACTGAAATACTGTTTACTGAGCACTTACTATGCGCCTATCACGGCACTAGGACTTTATGTGTATTTTCTTGTTAAAACTCAATTATAACCCTGCAAGGAAGGTATTATTGCCCTCATTTCACAGATGAAGAAACTCAGGTTCAAAGAGAGCAGGCTCCAAACTCAGATCCAGACCAGCATTATCCAATAGGAATATAACGCCAGTCATCTAGGCGTTAAAGAAGAAAACATTCCACAGGCCCAATATGGCATCACTCATGCTAATAACCCACGACACCACACCTCGACTCACTACCTGGTCTAACTGCAGATTCAACCTCTCCAAGAAATATAATCTTAATCAATCAGTCTGGAATTTTCTGGACAAACACGAGTAAGGTAATCCGTCCCCTGGGCCCTCTCCCCATAGAAGGAGGCAATCTGCAGGATTAAAATCCGTCCCAAAACTAAGATGTCAGGCCCCAAATCACCCTTTCTTTTCCTTTGCCAATAGTTCCTTGGCCGCATCCTCTTCCTATAAAATCCTTCCATTTTGTACAGCCCCTCAGTGAGCCGTCCAGTTGCTATTGGGATGCTGCCCAACTCACGAGTCGTTTTATTAGTTGAATTTATTGGGGTTACATTGGTTAATAAAATTATATCAGTTTCAGGTGTATATTTGTATAACACGTCACCTGTATACAATTGTATTGTATTCACGACACCATGAATCACCGAATAAAGCCAATTTGACCTTCAAATTTACTTGGTTGAATTTTGTTTTTTAGCATAGGGAATTTAAAAGTTTTCTATTGGCTACATTAAAAAGTAAAAAGAAACAAGAGAAACGAGTTGTAATATCTTATTTAACACAACACATCCAAAATATTATCATTTCAACAGGCAATCCATTTAAAAGATTATCCATGGGCTATTTTACATCTTGTTATCTGTACTAGGTCTTTAAAATCTGGCATTTACGCTTACAGCACCTCTCAGTGTGGACTAGCACATTTCATGTACTAGGAGCCACACGTAGCCAGTGGCTGGGGCAATGGCCTGCTTAGATCCTCACCCATTTGGCTGTCAGCCCCAAACATTTCCAGATCCCCACCCATGACCTTATAACATGGTACAAGGAGAGATGGGAGCTCAATTGCACAGCAGAGAGCAGCACCTTGAACCTGGACCTCAGGGAATCTGTAGCATTTGTCTTTTTCTAGGGCAGGAACCTAAGCATTGCCTCGGGGTCTAAGGATGGCCAAGGCCAATAGTCAAGATCAGCCTCCAGGGAAGCCCTTTGTACTTCAGGACAGCCCAGAGATAGCGAGGGTGGATTCTAAGGACCCGAGGGTGAAGGTAGAGACTTAGTCACCAGACTCCCCACCCAGCCCATCTCAGGAGAAGGGATGGAACGGTCCAAGGAGCCTGCCCTTTCTGGGCGGAGGTGTTCCATCAGGTGCTTGAAGGACACTGTGGGGACAGGAGCACCTGGGAGTCCTGGCCCAGAGGGCTCAGCTACCTGGACCCTTGCAGGGAGATGGTCCAAGCAGCCTGAATCTGTACCACTGTGATGGGCAGACCAGCTGGAGAGTCAGGCCCCCGAGCACAATCCAAATGTGTGGCCAAATGGGTATGCAGGTAGACACTGGAGTCAGAGCAAGCTGGGTTCCAAGACACACCCCTGAAGGTAAGAGCCAGGGGCTATCCTAGGGGAGAAAGAGACCCCCAAAACATGGCCTAGAAGGAGGACCCAACACACAAAAAGGTCACACACCCTGTCCTTTCACATCCAAACATCCGGCAGCTCAAACCCTGTTACCCCCAGAAATGGGGAAGAGGTTGCTAGGCTGCCAGATACTTGTGTCCGCCCACCCATCTTGTTAGCTGGGGTGCCTGCACCATCTTTGCCCCTGGGGTCAGGGTCAGGTCTGGTGGAAACCACCCCACGCCGGGCACTGACACAGCCACACCCCACCACTGAACCCTCTCAGCAACCCTGGGTGCTGGCGTCCCATCTCAGAGACGTAGACGCTGAGGCTCACAGGGAACAATGGACAATGAGGGGCCCAGAGCCAGCGGGCTGGCGGGACTGACCCCAAAGCCCAGGCTTTCCGGTTTTCTAATTTTAAAATGGAAGCTGCTAGAAGGCAAGGAAAAGGAGTGGGTAGATTCTTCTGGAATTCCGATCTCTGGGCGTGTTTGAGGCTTTGAGGCGTAAACAGGCCCAGGTGTGCTGGAATGGGATGACTTAGGACAAAGGTCGCTGGTGGCTGTTATGCATTTATTCACTAATTCAAAAAATTTGATTGAGCCGCTCCCTACTCTGTGCGAGGCACAATGCCGGGGACATAAACACAAATAAGGGCAGGTGTTGCCCTGGGGACTCGCCACGCCGTGATAGGGATCATAAACAGAGAATTCAAATCCTGCACGTTTGTCCAGAGCAATAGCAGAGGAAGGACAGGGAGTGGGAGGAGGTGGGGAGAGGCTCCTGGGGAAGCGAGTGGCCTTGGAGCGTGTGCCTCGTGAGAAGGGGCTGAAGGGGACCAGGTGTGAAGGCTCAAAGGCCAAGCCAGCGTGATGTGCTAGCGGGGAGTTTGGACCCTTGGTGTGGTTGGGTGGACACAGCGGGGAGGTGGGGAGAGAAGGCTGCCAGGTTGTGACAGGCTGTGGAACGTGATTATTCAATAAGAGCGACACCCTTAGTTGAGCACATCCTTCGTGCCAGGTGTGGCTGCAGCTGCCCTTGCCTAACGAGGGAGGCTGATCCAGGGCTAGTTGCCCCATGGATGGGGCAACAATTGCTGTGGAATATTTACTGATTCACATACCAACAACCAACGTTTACCACCCACTTGGTGCCAGGCATTGAGCTTAACAGACACCCTTGAGTAATCCCGAAAGCCCTTCGAGGCTGCTGCTGTCGCCCCCAACTTACACAAGAGGAAATGGAGGCTTAGGGAGGCTCCGAGGTGGCCCCGCCTGTACAGTGGCGCTGGCTTAGGCCTGCCCGTTCGCCGCTGTGAGTCCCTGTGCCAGGCGCCAAGCTCCAGGGGGTTAGGTCCCATCCCTGTGGGTGGAGGCGGGGAAAGCCACCCACAAAGGGGGGCAGAGCTGGAGGCACACCTCCACCTCCTTCCACACAGCGCGACAGGCCCCTCACCCTCTGCCGTAGCATCCCCGCCCCCGCTGGTCTTCCCCATCAGATGTCCCCTGCCGTCCAGGCCCCTTTCCAAGTAACAGCTTTTCCACGTGTGAGGATAATGGAGAGGCCTCTTAGGAAAAATAATTTACGATGTTTATTAACATTTTTGCGGTGACAGAGCGGGTCACCTTCAAGTCCACCATGCCAGATTTCATGGGAATTTCCCACTGGAGGGACTTAAGAGTGCTGACTGGCTGTGCCCAAGGCTACAGGCAGTGGCTACACAGCGCTCGGATTCCAACGCCTGGGCCTAAAGGAGCTCAATTCAGCATCCCACAGGGGTGCGAGTACTTCCGTTATTTGTAGAATTCTAGAGGACAGGTGTCACTGTAATGCAAGGCCCCCATTTTACAGATGGGAGAACCAAGGCTCAGGGAAGTTCTGTTTTGCTTGTTGACCTGAAACCCCAAGAGGCCCGGTGACGGTGTCCCCAGGACCGGGGGCTGGCTCTCCTCCCTAACACGTACACACAAACCGCCCGGGGGACTGGGGTTCTGTGCTCACCCAGAGAGCAGGAAGCCAAGCGCTGCTGCCTTTCAGATGGCACGGGGGAGGAGGGGAGGCATGTGCTAGGTCCTCCCCGGAGGCCCTCCCACACGCAGCAGCACAACCAAAAGGGTAGTGGGAGGAGCCTGACCTGATGCAACTTCGGGTGTGGGGGATGAGGGGTGGCGGGTTACTTGTGGGAGTGCCAAAGTCCAGAAAATAATGGAATGGCAAATCGATGCACTCAGCAAAATGGATTTCTGCCTGGGACCAGAGGTCATGGGCTCCAACTCCCTGGTGTTGACCCCTGGCTGGGGTGCTCTGGCCCCTGCCCCACCCTTGCCAGTGCCTGCTCGGTAATGGCAGGAAGTGGGAGCCTGGTGGCCCTGGCATTCCTGGCACTCCACTCCGCTGGACAGGGCTCCGAGTGACCTCACTTCCGTTACTTCCACTGAATCAGTTGGTCCTCTCTGGCTCCACCTTCTACCTTTAGGCTGAGCTGTGCCCTTTCTCTGACCAGGGGAGGCTCCTGCTGGCGCCAGAACACCTGAGCCACATGCTGCCACCAGGTGGAGAGCCACCAAATGGGCCCACGCCCTGCTCCCCCCCAGTCGGCACCCCGAGGCCTCCCCCTTCAGACTCTGGGGACAGAGCCTGAGCACAACTCCAGTGTTGCCACTGCTCATCCTGCAGCTGACCCAGACTGGGATCGTTTTGGGGAAACTCTAAACATGGGTAAAAAGCAACCAGACTTCCTGCTGTCCAGGACTGGAGTGAGACGGATGCCTGGGCAGGACCCCCTACCCGAAGCTGCTGGCTGGCCCCTGCACGGCCCTGGGCCACCGACCACTCCCTCTCCTCCCTCCCGCAGCCATCCTTCTCCTCCTCCAAGATCCTCCCTCCCGCGCTCAGATACCAGCTAGCTAGCGCTTACTCCTCACATTCCTGAGAATCATAAATCCTAGGAGGCAGAGCCGTCAGAGACCTCTGCACCTCCTCCCCGAACTCCACCCCACAGCGCCCACGGTTGGTGGGGCTTCCTCTCTTTTCTTAGAAGTCACACCGGACTGCAAGAGGAGGATGAAGTCCAGCCGCTGAAGTTAATAATACACATACCAGGGCTGGAGGGGAGGCGCGGAGACAGCCCTGCCTGCCACCCCTTCCCCCCCTCCCAGCGCCCGGGCTCCGCGGGTCCCACTTGCTTCATCCCAGCTCCAGTTACCACCCACTGGGGCCACGGAGGAAGCTGGCACCTCTGGGCAGGCTGGGAATCGGGTGGCTGAAAAGCCGGCCCCGGGATGGGCGGGATTAGAGGTTTCCCCAAACACGGGAGCAGCCACCACCAACAGAGCAGAGGAAAGAGGGGACTGGGCCGCCCGCCCCCCTCCCTCTCACTTCTAAAGGCCAAAGAACAAGTGGCAAGAAAAGCTCAGAGTCCCAGCCCAGCGCGGGGAAGGGGTGGGGGTCGTGGGAAGCCGCCCCAAGCCTGCAACCGCCCGAGCGCCCGGTAGGCGGGCGGAAGCAGTTTCCCCCTCGAGGATCGAGTTTCCAAAAAGACCAGGCTGGGCGCGGGGCTGGGCGTCCGGGCGCCTGGGTCTCTCCCCGATCCCCCTCCCCTCGCCCCGTTCCAGACTCGCCGCCCGGCCCGGGCCCCCACTTACCCGCTCGGGGTGGCTCTTCTCGGACTCGCGGGGTCCCGGCGTGGCGGCCTGCGGCTCATTTTCGCCGCCAGCCCCCTTCGCCTCGACGGCGGCCGGCGGCTCGGCCTGCCCGGGCCCTTCCTGGGCGCGGAGCAGCTCCTCCCGGATCTGGACGCCCAGCTTCTGCAGCCGCTCGTCCGTCTCCAGGTCGACCACCAGCAGACGCACGGCGTTGAGCGAGGCGCGGATGCGGCTCACCACCTGCTGGTGGGTCTCCTTCTCCACGTTCTCGCCGTTCACCTCCACCAGCCGGTCGCCGGCCAGCAGCCCCGCCTTCTCGGCCGGCGAGCCGGGCTCCACCAGCCGGATGAACTGGCCCACCTTGCCCTTCTCCCCGTGCAGGTGGAAGCCGTAGCCGTTCGGACCCTTCTCCAGGCAGCAGAGCCGGGGCAAGGGCGCCCCGGCCGCCGCGTCCGCGCTCATCTCGCCCTGCGACGGCTCAGCGGTTCGACGCGGGGTCCTGTCGGGGGCCGGAGACGGGACGACCCAGCCCTTTCCCCGCGGACGAGGAAGCTGAAGGGAGCGCCGCGAGGACTCCCCGCGCCGGCGGAGCGAGCAGGTGGTCCGCGAAAGGCCTCCGCGCACTTCGGGGAGCTAAACTACGAGCGCACGAACCAATCCCCCGCCCGCGCGGCGTCTGAGCTTCCCAGAACCCGCCCCGACCCCTTTTCCTAGGGGGCGGGGCCGCGCCGAGGGTGTGGAGCACCCTGAGCCAATCAGGGGCCACAGGCAGGGGGCGCTCTGCCGGGTGAACGACGCTGGCCAATGAGAACGCGCAGGGGCGGGACCCTGCGCTCCGCGCGGCGCTCGGCGGCGGGAGAAGAAAGAGGCTCAGGAAGTGGAAGTGTTTGTTACCAAGTGGCCCGAGTTGAGGCGGGGGCGGGGCGAGTCCCCGGTGCTGGGCCGAAGGGCCCGCTGGCTCGGTTCTGATTTCTCCCACCCGTGTGTGGCGGGGGTCGAGGAGAGCTAGTCCGGGACCCTAACGTTTTAAACAGCCTTTAGCCAAAACCTTGTGTGCAGCTTCAAGTCGGGGGCTTGGGGGGGAGGGGAGGGGGAGCGACTGTTGCTGGGGCAACCGATCCCGTTCGGGAACGAGGCTGGGAGGTCCCAGCGGTCGTACAAAAAAGACTGAGATCCACCTCGGACTCAACCGTTGTTTGAATAGCGAAGTCTTCGGCTTGTGGAGCCCCTTTGTGCTGTCCCGGGACCTGTTTATAGGGGGGCGTGCTCTGATCCTCACGGGGACGGCGTGAGGACCCAGGAGAGACACTTCGCGGGGCTGCCCACTGAAGAGGCCATCAGGGCAATGGCATGGGCATGGGCACTGGCCTCGGCGCTGGACGGGAGAACTGGGGTGGGGGCAGGCAGATCAGAGTCAGGTAACCAACCGCAGTACAGTCTACAGGGAAAGGAGCCCTGGCTTTCTTCCATTTAAAAAAAAAAATGATCAGGACCCTAAGATAAGCCTCCTTTCAGCTCCTCACAGAGGAGAGGCTGGTCACAGAGGCCGGGCAGTCTGTTAAAGGGTGAGGTGACTACTTGGGGCCATTGAAGGACGAGGATCAAATGATTTTGGCACTTCAGGGCAGTGCCTCCAACCAGCAGGAACACTCCTTTCAACATGATCCCCGCTCCCATGCCGCATCTCAAAGAAGCAGTGGACAGGATGTACTTTCCAAAATACTGCAATTTAATTCTGAACAAAACAAATGCTAGAGGCCCAGAGCAGCCCGAGGGGACTGGGTCCCCAGTGACCCGCCCTAGGCAAGGTCAGGCTCCTCCCTGCGCTGCCTGGGAGAGGCCTCGGAGGAGAGCTTCCTTATCAGGGCCCAAGTCGGAGCTGCTGACTCGGCTCGGACCGCGAGATTTCTGCCTTGAAAGCAAATGCAGTGGCCTCAGACCCGTCCAGTGCACGCCTCTTTCTCGCCCCTCTCCCCTGCCCCTGGCCCGGGAGCCAGGGCATAGGCGCCTCTAGGTTGGGACATGCGCGCCTCCTGTCCCCCTCCAGTTGCTGGGGTCAGGGCTCTGGGAGACGTGTGACCGGCCCCACATAAACTCCTTGCTGCCCCTTTCCCCTCCCCAGTCTTCCCCACACGACACTGTGTTGCACGCAGAACTGGTTAACCCAGAAATGGGTGGCCTCTCCTTCCCCACCCTGTCTCAGTAGGAGGGGAGATGAAGCAGTTTGGGCCCTGGGTCTGTTTGAGTACTTAAGGGCATCGTTGGGAGAGCCAGCACTTGGGCTGAGGAGAATACATGGGGGTGAGGTTTGCTTCCCACCGACTCTGGAGTTGGGGGTTTCTCTTTAACGGGCTCTTTCCCCAGTAGAAGCACTACAGCTGTTTGAAGAAATAGCCTGCGGACTGCATACCTGCCAAAGGGTTGGGACTGGTCAATCAACTCTCACTGTGACCTGAGGTGCCCAGGGGCATAGCAGAAAGGAAAGGAAGACCAGGGATCCAGGGGGGTCCAGAGAATAGCAACCAAATGCTCCCAAGGGCCCCGTTGTGCTTGTGAGCAGGAGGAGAGGGGCCGCACCTCCGGGAGGGGGGCTGGTAAGGCTAGAGGTAGCCAAACAGACCCAATCTCTGCGACTCCTCTCTTCCCCTCCCAGGGAGGGAGCTGGGCCCCCGCCCAATCTCCACATTGCTTATCTTCCCTGATAAGAGATAGGCTTTGGTCTAGCTCCCAGCACAAGGGCCCATCTTCTGGGGGAGACGGCTCCCTGGGGAGCTGGAGGAAATGAAGGCCCGGGTCTGCTCAGCCTCTCCCCAGCTGAACTGAGGGTGGGAACAGGGTCACTGCCGGCCCTCCTGCCCCAGAAGCGCATGTTCCTGGGTAGCGAGCTGGAGCATTACTGCCCTCACCATGGCTAGGAGGGAGGCCCAGCCCCCGAGTCCTAGTATCTACCAGAAGGCTAAGGCCACCAGGTCCCTACCTTGGTTTTCTGGTGCCCGCTTTGTGTGTGTGTGTGTGTGTGTGTGTGTGTGTGTGTTATGTATCACTAAACTGAAATATAAATATTTTACCCTCCCTGGGGATGCAGGGAAGCTACAGGAACGAAGGTAGGGGAGGGGGTACAGCCCCCAGTTGGGAAGGGGCTGTGCACTAGGCCCCCAACTCTCTCCCCCATTGGCTTAGCTGCTCAGAATCAACCAGGTCTTGGGGAGCAGGCTGCATCCTCGTGGGCCTCGGGGGCCGTCTCTCAGCCCCTTGGGCTTCACAGGAAGGAGCAACAGCCGGGCCGCTGCTTCTGGGACTCCACATAGTCTCGGATCTGGAAGCTGGGCTCGCCGGCCTGCAGCCCGGCCCTGTATTTCAGCTCCCTGGAAGAGGAAGAGGCAACGGGCTGGGCAGCGAGCCAGGTATGGAGCATCCTCCCCTCTCCCACGGCCGGGGGCAAAGGGACCTCAGGGTGCAGGTGCAGTTGAGCCCAGGGGCCGGGCCCTACTGGACCCCCAGATGGTGCCACCCCGGCCCTGCACCGTTTCCTTCCCCGCTCAGCTCTCACTTGGCAATGGCCAGAAAGGCTAACTCCACATTCATGCCCGTCTTGGCGCTGGTCTCCATGAAGGGAACTCCGTACTCCTGCCAGGGAGAGCGTGTCCTCAGGGCCAGCCTCTGGTTGCCCCCACCCGTCACCCTGCCCACAAGGCAGCCACTTACCCTGGCCAGGGTCTCTCCGTCTTCCGAGCGAATCACCCTCTCACTGCTCACATCTGCCTGTAAGCCCAGGTGGGTCACTCTGGGGAAGGAAGCCCCAGCCGGCCCCTCTTCTGCCCCTTCTGGCCCATCTGTTGCCCTAGGAGTAGGCACTGCCCGCCCCCTGCTGGTGGCCTGTGGGACTGCGGGCGGTATGATTGGCACCGGACAGGGTTTCAGGAGCAGTTCCCCTGCGGCCAGCCCTGGAATCTCACTCCCTCTTGGGGAGGTGGGTAACTCCCCTTGGCAAGGGCACGGAGACCCAGCCTCAGAGGGTGACAGTAGTGGCGGCTAACTTTTCTGCTCTTAGCTCTGCATCCGTGACCCTGGTTACTGTGACCTAATAGGGGCCCAGCAGCTGGGCAGCCTTGGATCTCACAGGCAGCAGCTGGGGCTTCCCCCACAAGGGCCGTTCCAAAGCTTACGGACAGATAAGATGGACTGAGCTGCCAGGACAGTCTGACCCCTGAACTGGAGACTGGAAAGAGTCCTTTGCTGGAAGGGTGGCCAGCTAGCACTCTCGGGTAGTGATGACGCTGGGCGCAGGCAATGCTGTGGCAGCGGGAGAGGAGGTGCAGGTGGGCTGGTCCTGCCATGGACCACTCACCTTGTTGCCTAGCAGCATGATCACCACATCCCTCTGGGCGTACTCGTGAATCTCAGTGAGCCAGGCCTGTGGGAGAGGGTGAGCTGAGCCGGGCTTAGGCTGCGCCCCAGCCATTCTTCCCCTCCCTTTTGCCCCTCCTTCTTCTGCCCTATTTGATTATCCTGGGCTACTCACTACCCCCTCCAACCCCGATGCCCTATTCATTCTCGTATCTGCATCCTTGTTCTGGCCTCTCCAGTCCTGAGTGGTTCCAAACCCTACACAGTGCGATTCTTAGTTCTATAGAGATGGCAGCAGCTTTGTCTCAGAAATCAGTTGGCAGTCACCAGTGATTTCCAGTTGAGGATTCTAAGGCTACATAAGGGCTCAGTGATCAAAAATACGATGATTGATTAGTAATGTCTGCCATGAGCATGGGGTTGGAAGTGACAGTATGAGTGCCATCCTCTTCTTTTGTTTGAGTTTAGAGAGGGAGCAAGGGAGGGAGGGAGGGAGAGAGAGAGAGAGAGAGAGAGAGAGAGGAGGGAGAGAGAAGCATCAATTGGTTGCCTCCCATATGTGCCTGACCAGGGGAGGAACCCGCAACCTAGGTATGTGCCCTGACTAGGAATCAAACCCATGACCTTCTGGTGCATGGAATGATGCTACAACTGCTGAGCCACACCAGCCAGGGCTCCATTCTCTTTATAAGCTGTTTTATATCTCTATGTCTTGTCCCCCACTTTGCTTGTCGACCCCTTGAGGTCAGAGAGCATGGGAAACCTTTATGGGGTTGCACACAGGGTCAGTGCTTATATTTGTGGAGTGATCGTCTATTTTCTTCAATAGTTTGGTGGTGAGGACAGAGCCACGCACTCTGTCCGCCTGAGTCACTTTCTTGCAACTTGGACTAGATGTTCGGATAGACCTTTCTCCTTGTTCTCCCCTTGGCTCCTGGGGGTAATTGCCCAGGGTGGAGCTGGGTACTTTCTGAACTTTTGTCATGAAGCACACTCATGAATCACCGTCAGGCTCAGCACTGCCTGGACTCCATGCCCACATGCCCATCACATACCCAGAGGCAGCGTATTACGCCTGAGTCACAGCTCAGGTATGCTGCGAAGGCAGCAGTGTTCCGGGCTCCACCCCCTGCCCCGGAGCAGGAGGCAGCCCTGAACTCCGCAGCCCTGCCTTCTGCTATGGTGGTGGACAGAGCGACCTACCCGGATGTTTTCGAAGGAAGACTTGTTGGTGATGTCATACAGCAGGAGCAAGGCTGCAGGGGGAGAGACAGGTCACACGGGGACTTGGGGCAGAAGGGCAGGTGTCCCAGGTGGGCTGGGGAAGGAGTTGGCATGCACCCGGGAC